CAACGTCTTCAAGTGAGAATGTAGTGGATGCTTGTCCTTCATAATGAGAATTTACTATGTATTCTTAGTAATCTTTTTGTGTAAGAAAAGTAAAAACAAATTAGGAAAAGAGAACCTCAGAAACTTTAATACTCTGGGTACTGGTAAACTAAAGAAATGCAACTTGCTAGAAAGAATAGTCTATCTCTACAGGGTAAAGTCTTGGCAAATGTTTCCAAACATTCATGAGTTTCGTAAAAGTCATCTCTGTGGGACCACCTAACACCAAGAGAACTGAAGTATTAGGAAAATGCAAATGATGACTTAAAAGGAATTCCAAAATATTTTGCATCAAAGACATATAACGCCAATGGAAGGGTGGCCGGCATTGTGCTGGGCTGAATGAAACGCTGCCTTTATTAATACACATTGACACATTATGTCATTCAGCCTCCACACCGAGCCTGTGGGACAAGCAGCGCTGGGTGGCACATTTTCAGCGAGAGAGGGATTAGCAGTGACCTCCCACCCTCGGAAACTCTGCCTAGTGTCCTGGGAATGTTCTTGGCCTGCTTGGGGAAGGTGATCCGAGGCTGCTCTTAGGCCACAAGCATCGCAGTTAGCAGTAATTACCTGTAAACTCAGCAGCACGGTAGAGTTTAAAGAAGCCTCCCCAAATGACTAAGTCTTTCCTAGAGAATCTCTCAAGTACTGGAAAAAGGTAGCTTATGATATGTAAACATTGCTAAGGGTGTTTTTGTGTGAGGGTGAAGAGTGAAATGTTTCAGTGGTGGCGACATGAAGGGAACATTTAGGGACCTGGAAGACAAGACCCAAACAGGAGTGACATGATGAAAGAATGGCCAGCACTGGTGGGCCGACACAGTTAATTGAGAGGAGTCTGGGGACCCTTAAGCAAAGTCGCATAAATAGAACTCCTCAAAAAAAAAAAGTGTTAGGGAATAAAGAGCAAGGCGAGAGCCTCAGAGAAACATCCAGAAATTTCAGCAGGGAGTTAGGTTACAACCCAAAAATAGATGTCAGAAAGGTGGAGATGCCAGAAGGAGAAGGTCAGCTCTAAGGGGGGAAAAATCATTGCTTGATGGTGATGACCCCCCAAAGTCAAAAGACATTCTTTTCTGTAAACAGCTGCTGTCCAGATGTCCCAATGCACATGGCAAATGATCACATGTCACTCTCCTTCTCCAGGCACTCCCCAGCCAAGGAGCCCAGTCAGAACTGACATTCTCTGTCTATAGAAGGCTCCCCAAACCTCAAGTTTCAGCTCCTCTGATCCTGCCAGTTTTTCACTGGGGAATTTGTTATTCGTTCTCAGTGAAGAGTTTCCTAAAAGATCAACAAACTCTATCCTCATGAAGGTGACTCAGCCTGGGAATGGTGAGAGAGCCAGGTCCCCCCAGGGTGCATGTTATTTGGGGCTTCCGATGGTGGCCTTGGACTCTCTCCCAGGGTGGTGCCAGTGGGCAGCCTGCACACAACCTCCAGAGAGGAATTGGTTCTCAGCGGAGGCAGCAGCTCTTGCTAGGGACAGATTCCTGGGCATGTCTCATCACCAAGTCACAATGCTGATGGCTCTTGTTGACATGGCCTCCTGTTGGCAGAGGCAGCAGATTCTCCTGTCAGCGGCATTCCTAGGGGTCACACTATTTATCCGAGTCTCTTGCTGACAGGAGGGGACAGTTAAGCACCATCTTGGACTGCTGCCCACGGCACGGGTTCTCCTGAGAATTTTAGTAGGAATAACTTTACACCAGTCTGCAACTGAACTTATTTAACAGCCTTTATAGGTGCAATGAGGGACAACCCTAAATAACACTGCATACCTCATTTCCCTCATTTTAAGGCCATTTAAGCTCACAGCCACTGATTCTCTCTTGGTGGAGGATGAGTGCCTGCACTCACAAGGATGCGCCACCAGGAGATAGAGTCCCTCACTCCCTTAGACCAATATCCATACTTATTAAAGACTCTCACCAGATATGGAGGGAGCCATATGTGAATTTTAACCCAGCCTGCACAACTCATTAAATGTGTAACTTCTGGCCAGGCATGGTGGCTCACGCCTGTAATCCTAGCACTCTGGGAGGCTGAGGTGGGCGGATTGCTCAAGGTCAGGAGTTCGAAACCAGCCTAATCAAGAGTGAGATCCTGTCTCTAATATACAAATAGAAGAAATTAATTGGCCAACTAATATATATATATATATATATATATATTTATAATATAATATATAACTATAAATAAGCCGGCATGGTGGCGCATGCCTGTAGTCCCCAGCTACTTGGAGGCTGGATTGCTTGAGCCCAGGAGTTTGAGGTTCTATGAGCTAGGCCTGACGCCACGACACTCACTCTAATCTGGGCAACAAAGTGAGACTCTGTCTCAAAATAAATAAATAAATAACTTTCTTAGCTACCTAATGGATTAACCTACCTAGCTCATTCTCAGTTTCCTCACCTAAAAGTATTTTATCTCACAAAGTGGCCGTCAGGATTAAATTAATGCCATAATTAATTTTATAGCACTTAGTCTCGGTTATATATTCCTTTTCCTAATAGAAAGAAATGAATCCAGGCTGGGCGTGGTGGCTCATGCCTGTAATCCTAGCACTCTGGGAGGCCGAGGCAGGCGGATCATTTGAGCTTAGGAGTTCGAGACCCGCCTGAGCAAGAGCAAACGACTCTGTCTCTACTAAAAACTAGAAAGAAATTAGCTGGACAACTAAAAAAATAATATCGAGAAAAATTAGCCCAGGCATGGTGGTGGCATGACTGGTAGTCCCCAGCTACTTGTGGAGGCTGAGGCAAGAGGATCACTTGCAGCCCCAGGAGTTGAGGCTTGCTGTGAGCTAGGGCTGATTGCCATGTGCGACGTCTAGCCAGGGCCAGGGGTACAGAGAGTGGAGACTCTGTCAAAAAAAGGAAGAAGAAGAAGAAAGAAGAGGAAGGAAGGAAGAGGAAGCGAAGAAGAACGGGAAGGAAGAGGAAAGGAGAGAGAAGGAAGGAAGAAGGAAGGAAGGAGGAAGGAAGGAAGGAAAAGGAAAGGAGGAAGAGAGGAGGGAGGGAAGAAAAGAAGAAAGAAAGAAAGAAAGAAAGAAAGAAAGAAAGAAAGAAAGAAGAAAGAAGAAAGAAGAAAGAAAGAAAGAAAGAAAGAAGAAAAAGAAAGGGAGGGACGGGAGAGAGAAAGAAAGAAAGAAAAAAAAAAAAAGAAAGAAAGAAAGAAAGAAAGAAAGAAAGAAAGAAAGAAAGAAAGAAAGAAAGAAAGAAAGAAAGAAAGAAAGAAATCCAAACAGATAAGAATTCACTGGTATCTTAATTCACATATTCCATGAGACTAGAGATTTCTAGACAAAGGTGACACTGAGTGAGTATTCCTGGGAGAAGTCCCATCTTCTTGGCATGGGGGCAGCTGCAGCTGTAATAAGGAGGCAGCTGAGACGCTGCAGGGACAGGGTTCCACTGAGGAGCAGGCAGCCTTGATAACTCCCATTTGACCACATCATCAGGAAGCCAGGGAAGCCGGGTCTAGGCTTTCCTTTCATATTTGACAGCCTAGGTGAAGTATCTCAGGAGAGGTTGAAACCTCCTGCAATGAAACCAAGGAACTGCAGGTTATAAGGCCTGCAGGTGAGAGAGGAAGAGAATGCCTCATGTCACACAGGTATTCAGAGAGAGAGGAAAGACCACAGCTGTGCCTCCTAATTTTTAAAAGCATCAATCTCTTCAGAATCCATCCTCCTTGTTCACAAAATGGAGCCCTAGTGAAAGCCTAAGCTGTCTCCACTGAAGTGCTGAGCATGTTGGATGACAGGGTGGCCAGGCCTGCCAGAAATTGAATGAGGAGCTAAGGGGAGGAATTAATCATTCATTCAAAGAAATAAATATTTATTGAGCATGTATTATGTACTAGGTGCTATGGAAAGCCCTCATATACAGCTATGGAGACAAAGGGTTTAATACAGAAATAGAGAATCAGACCCGAGGAGGCTGGTCTAGTAGTGAAGACTTAGCAGAGGGCTGAGAGAGCTGTCAGTTGGTCACATGGATTGGACTTTGCTATGAGTTCCCCAGAGATATGGCAAGGAGGATCCTGAAAGGACAGTGCCTTTCTTCCCACAGGCTGCACAAGTTATAGCATCCTTTAGCTCCAAAGCACTTCCAGGACCTCTGTGTTGGCTGCTGCCTGGTGGCCAAAGACATTTTCAGGGGAAGCCACAGCTGTGACTGCCTGAAAAACGGTGTCTGTGGATATAGTAAAAGGGGTTGGAAATGGGAAAAGTGTGGTAGGGACAAAAAGAGAGGGTACCAAGTGGTATCTGACAGGGCTTACCTGTGAACACATGTGAGCTATCCATGGGAATGCCCAGGTGTAAGCAAGATGGAGGAGGGGGGACTTTGCCTGTGCAATGGGTTGGAGAACTACAACAAGAGATGTCTTTAGTCATCAGGGAATCTCACAAGGGGTGCTGTTCTATAGGGGGATCACTATAGGAGCATGAGCTAACTAACACCTGGGCTAGAGGACAGTTGGAGGTAGCAAGGACAGCCACAGCAAGGGGAAAGTGGAGCATTTCCTTCTCTGACCCCATCCCAGATAATGACCTCTTGCCTGTGTGTGGAGTGGAGAGGGAATAGAAACTTTGAGGAGTGGGCACTTTGGGTAGTTGGAGAAGCTGATACAACATATTCTCCAAGTCAAGGCAGAAGAGCACCCTTGCTGTGAAAGCAGAGGAAATCTTCTCCCACTCACACCTGTAGGGCACACAGCCCTAGTTATCCTCCTTCATTCTAGGTTGACCCATGTGTGCTCTGAATGACACCCATTTTGACAACCTTACCTTTATTATTTCATGCATAAAAAGTAGTACACATCATTTACTTCCTAGGATACTATTTTAGAGCATGCTTTCCATGAGCATTGACTGAACCAAGTGCTGGCTCAGCTAGCTGCAGGACCTTGGGCAACTTCCTTAAACCAGCTGCTCCCACAGTAAGAATCACCTGTTCTCTTCACGCTGCTGATGCTGATTCAGCCTGGGGAAAAGTCTATCATTCTTCATGTCTTACAGGCTCCCAAGTGATGCTGCCGCTGCTGCTTCTGTTCCTGGACCACATTTTGAATAGTGAGGACCTAAACTCTTTGGGGTTCAGTTTCTCCATCTGTGAAACAGAGATTAATCATGGTTAGGCTATTGTGAGGATTGAATGAGATGGTGCACTTAACACAGTGCCTAGCAACAACTGGGTGCTCTATAATAGCATCAAATATTTTAGTACTATATGTTAGTTGCATTTTATCAGAAAACCCACAAAGATACGCCATATATCTTTTACGTGAATTTATATGCGTGTTCTGGAACAAATACCCTATTGCAAATTTTCTATTTTCTATTTCCAAACATTGCAGTAATTCCCCTAAGTGGTTATTTTTGGTTCTTTACACAGTCTCTTCCAGTGCAATAAATAAATTTATTATTATTGGTAATAATAAAAATAATAATGTATTTACTTTTGACATAATTGTATATTAATCCTCTTTGTATTATGACCTCTGGATGAGCTACAAAATAAATCAGACCTTTACTCTCCCCCGGTGGCCTTACCCCTATTCTGGTTTTGTTTGCATGTTAAAATGTTTGTTCTGACTTACTTTCTAGAGTTACCTTTTAAGTATGGAATAACTTAATTATGGATCCCCCAGTACTAGTAACAAACTGCTATGCAATTTATGAGGTTTTTTTTTTTAGACCTAAACCAAAAACCATTATTGTGCAGATTTTTCCAAATAAGATTATATAGAAAACTTTTGACTTTCGTTTACCTCTAAATAACCTAGAACTTTCTTTTAGTGTCCATACTAAAGCTTTCCTAATTCATTTCCCTTTTATAGTTTTACAAATAAATGAATATCAAAATTTAAAAATTTTCTTTATCTGTAATTTATATGTAATAATTTTTTGTAGTCATTTTTAAGGGATTTTTCCCCTTCATATAAAATTTCATATTAGACTATAGTAGAGTATCTCTGAATCACAACTACTTAAAAATCTGCCTTTTAAAAAAGCTTTTGCTGGTTTTAAGAATATTGGTCTCTACTGTCTCCACAGAACCTATGAAACCACATTCAAGGGTCTTTGTAGCTGCAGAGGAAAGAAGGAAAGCCGCAGGCACGTGATTCCCTTTCCTCTAGCACTGCAAACCAAGAGGGCAGGTGAGGATAAACTGATTATTTTTGTAGTCCATAGATTCTCATCTTCCCCATGGTGGCTTAAGAATTGTTACCATTTTATGTTTCCTGAGAAGAAGTTATTCATCATCACCCTAGAATGATGATTGCTAACATTCACTGAGTTCTCATCCAGTAGTTTTCAACACTGGTTGCACATTAGAATCACCTGGGGAGCTTTAAAAACCTAGTGTCCAGGCCCTACGCCAGACCGATAGAGTCAGAATCTCTGAGGCTCGCGCATTTATATGTCTTTTAAGTGTCCCAGGTGATTTTTGTGTACAATGAGGGTTGAAAAACACCTAACCTAATTAATAGACTCATAGCATTCAAAATTACACATTCTGGTTACATTAGTAGTAAGATGAGGCTTATTTTATTATATAATCCTTATAACAATTCTGTGAAATCGGTATATTGGGTCATACCTTAGATTTAAACTTGGGGAGACTAATTAACTCAATAAAGGTCACAGAGCCAGGACAAGTGATAGATTCATGAGTTGAATCTATCTATGTCTGTTTGCCTCTCAAGTCCATGCTAGTTCACCAAGCCATACTACAAGAAGACAAAAAAATGATAAAGGAATGAAAATGAAATGAAATGAAAACATAAATGATAAGGCTGGTTGGCATTGTAGCAATAATACACATTTCCTGATTTCTAGAGAGTTTTATTGCAATTTAGGTCCAAGGTGACCTAAAATGAGCAATATTTAGGAAGAAACAAACAAGACATCCAGAGAAGATGGTTTTATGCATGATAATAATCATGAATGATAGGTTACAAAAAGAGTGATAAAATATTAACAGCAATTTCTGATGTATAAGCAAATATAGTCAAGCCCATCTAGTGGTTTAATATCCCAAGGTTTCCCAAGACGACATGAAGATAGTGAGTGCTTAAAGGCAAACCCTAACCTAGGCTGTGAGGAATGTGATATATGAGGAATGTGAATATATGAGAAATGTGAAGTCTGTACCGGAGGTAAAAATGTCAAGAAGATGAAATTAAATCATGCTTAGTACTATGTTGTGAAGTCAACACTAATCATATGTATTTCGGATTCCACGTTTCAAATCCATCAATTCTAAATTTTCCAATATTCAAAGAGCAGACCTAGCTATCTATGTTGGAAGCAAAATGTTTAAAGCTTCTGTTTAGTTGAATTCACTGTGGTCTAATTTCTGACTACCATTCTAGTCCAAAGAAGCCTCATTCAATAAGCCAAGGGTTGTATATGCAAAGAGTGACCAAGTCAAAAACATAAAAGTTTGTATATAACACCACTAGGATCAATCTAAGCATGGCCTTGACACTGAATTTGTCTCTACCCAGTTACCAGAAAACCAATTTAAGAGTGAGATTACACCCAGACAAACTTTAGCGAGAGAATTACTATGGAAATGACCTCACCAAGATAATGAAGGCATATGTTCTTTTTCAATCTTTCTCTCCAACATCAATTTTCCAGCTTAAAAAAAAATTCAAGCAAATAATTTGATGCATTATAGATACACATGACTAAAGCTGAATTAGGGGTAACTCTTGTTGGACAACTACCCATTCCATGTTCAATGTGCTGATGAGAAGAATGCACTTAGGTTGATTTCACATCTTCATGATTGTGAATTGTGCTTCAATCAACATTCTAGTGCAAGTGTCTTTTTGATAAAATGACTTTTCTTCCTTTGGGTAAATACCAAGTAGTGAGATTGCAGGATCAAATGGTAGATCTACTTTTAGTACTTTGAGGAATCTCCAGAGTATTTTCCATAGAGTTTGCACTAGTTTACAGTCCCAACAACAGTGTGTAAGTGTTCCTTTCTCTCTGCATCCATGCCAGCGTCTATTATTTTGGGATTTTTTGATAAAAGCCATTCTCGTTAGGGTTTGGTGATATCACATTGTGGTTTTGGTTTGAATTTCTCTGATGATTAGTGACATTGAGCATCTTTTCATATGTTTATTGGGCATTAGTCTTTGAAAAAGCTTCCGTTCAAGTCTTTTGCCCACTTTTTAATGGGGTTGATTTTCTTGAGTTCTTTGTAATACTGGTTATTAGCCCTTTATCATATATATAGCATATGAATATTTTCTCCCATTCTGTAGGGTGTCTATTTGCTCTGTTGATTGTATCCTTGGCTGTATAGAAGCTTTTTAATTTAATCAAGTCCCATTTGTTTATTTTTGTTGTTGCTGTGCTTGCCACCAGGATCTTCTTCATAAATGCACTACCTAAGCTGATATCTAGAAGAGTTTTCCAACATTTTCTTCTAAAATTCTTATGGTCTCATGTCTTAGATTTAAGTCTGTTAAATACCTTGAATTATTTTTTGTGAATGGTGAGAGTTATGCTTTCTAACATTTTCTTCTAAAATTCTTAGGGTCTCATGTCTTAGATTTAAGTCTGTTAAATACCTTGAATTATTTTTTGTGAATGGTGAGAGTTATGCATCCTGTTTCAATCTACATGTGGCTATCCAATTTTCCCAGCACCATTTATTAAATAAGAATTATTTTCCCCAGTGTACATTGCTGTCTACTGGGTCAAAAGTCAGATGGCAAAATATGGATGGTTTTATATCTGGGTTCTCTGTTCTCTTCTATTGCCCCATGTCTCTATTTTTGTGCCAGTAAAATGCTGTTTTATATGCTATAGCCTTGCAGTATAGCTTAAAGTCTGACAACGTGATGCCTCCGGATTCATTCCTTCTCCTTTTCCTTAAAGTTGCTTTGGCTATTTGGGCCTGTTTTGGTTACAAAGTGCAGAATTATTTTTTCTAGGTCTGTGAAAAATGACTTGGTATTTTGATGAGGATTGCATTGAATCTGTGAAATGCTTTGAGTAGTATGGACATTTAATATGTTAATTCCATTGATCTGTGAGCATATTTTTTCCATTCATTTACATCATCTGCAATTTCCTTCCTCAGTGATTTGTCATTCTGTTTGTAGAGATTTTTCACCTCCTTGGTTAAATATATTCCTAGATATTTTATTTTCTTTGTAGCTATTGTGAAAGGTATTGATTCTTTGATTCAATTTTCAGTTTTACTATTGTGGGTGTATAGGAATTCTATAGATTTATGTACATTGATTTTTGCAGCCTGAGCCTTTGCTGAATTTATTTATCAATTCCAGAAGTCTCTTGGTGGAACATTTGGGGTTTTCTAGATATCATATCATATCATATCATATCATATCATATCATATCGTATCATATCTTCAACAAAGAGAGATAGTTTGAAGTCCTCTTTCTCCATTTGGATACCCTTAATTTCCTTCTCTTCCCTGATTGCTATGGCTAGGACTTCCAGCACTATGTTGAATAGAAGTGGTGACACTGGGCACTGACAGAACTGGACAGATCCTCCAAGCAGAAAATAAATAAAGCAAATAGGCCTAACATTACAGAACACTCTACTGAACATGCATTCTTTTCATCAGTACATGGAACATTCTCTAAGTCTGATCACATCTTAGGCCAGAAAACATGTCTCAAAAATTTTAAAAAATAGGAATTATGCCATGTATCTCTTCAGACCATAGTGGAATAAAATTAGAAATCAACTCCAACAGAAACACTCAATTCTGCACAAAGTCATGGAATTTAAACAAGCTACTGTTGAATGATTATTGTGTCAAAGAGGAAATTAAGATAGAAATCAAAACATTCCTCAAACTAAATGACAAAGAGGAAACAAGGTATCAAAATCTGTGGGATTCAGCAAAAGCAGTTCTAAGGAGAAAATTCATACCCTTAAATGCCTACATCAAAAAGACAGGATGATTACATACCAACAATATAATGAATCATCTAAGGAACTAGAAAAGAGCAAACCAATTCCAAGCCCAGCAGAAGAAAAGAATAACTAATTTCAGAGAAGAATGAAATGAAATCAGAAAAAAAGAATAATACAAAAGATTAAAGAAACAAAAAGTTGATTCTTAGAAAAGACAAACAAAATAGGAAGAAATAGAAAGAAAGGACCCAAATAAACTCAATCAGAAATGAAAAAGGAGATATTACAACTGACACCACAGAAATGCAAATTATTATCTGTGAATATTATAAAAATCCTTATGCACATAAACTTGAAAACATTGAGGAATTTGTCCATTGACAAATTCCTGGAAACACACAACTTCCCAAAGCTCAATCAGGAAGATATAGAACTCCTGAACAGATCAATTATAAGCAACAAAATTGAAACAGCAATTTTTTTTGAAACCATCTGAACTGGGACATTTTTTGGTTTCAGAGCCAAATTTTATTAGACCTACAAGGAAATTGGTACCCACACTGCAGAATTTCATAACATCAAGAAGGAAGGAATCTTCCTCAACTAATTCTAGAAGCCAGTGTCACCTTGATACCAAAACCAGGAAAGGACACAACAAAAAAAGAAAACTATAGACCAATATCCCTTACAAATATAGATGCAAAAATCCTCAATAAAATTCTAGCAAACTGAATTCAGTATCACATCACAAAAACAATCCACCACAACCAAGTTGGCTTCTTCCTAGAGATGCAAGGATGGTTCAACATATGAAAATTCATAAATGAGATTCACCATGTAAATTGAAGGAAAAACAAAGATCATATGATTATTTCAATAGATGTAGAAAAAGTATTCAACAAAATTCAGCAACCTTTTGTGATAAAAACTCTTAACAAAATAGGCATATATGGAACATACCTCATAATTATAAAAGCAATAGACAACAACCCACAGCTAACATTATACTGAATGGGGAAAAGTTGAAAGTGTTTCTACTCAGAACTGAAACGAGACAAGTCATATCTTTTAAAGAAGAATTTTTCAAGACATATTCCATTTTAATGATTCAGTAGTGCTTAGATAAAGGTTTAAGAAGAGAAATCTGAGACAAATTCGAGCACTTGTGTTTTTTCTAAATTAGAAATTACAGTCCTGGATGAACTACTAAAGTTTACTTTGAAACATCCCATCCCATGCCTCTACTTGGAATGATTGCATTATGGTAATGGAGGACTTTTTCTGCATCTCTGTTCTATACATTTTGAGGAGAGCATCCAAAATATTTCCCCTCTTACAGATCCCATCTGCATGGGCAGAGTGAGAATCTGACATTGTAGTCATGTGTGCACTCCTGCCATGCACACCTGTACCTGCAGAAACCCCACCTCATTTGTACTGGTGAATGAAACCCAGGGCAGCTTGTGTCTATTATTTAATTTTCATCAAGATTGGCATCAAAACTTTAAAATTTTGGCACTCTCAAGTGTGAATAGATTCGTGTAATATTAGTCGTTCCCCTTTGTGTTTATAAATTATGATAGTATCTCTTTCCATCTCTTCCACTTGCATACTGCCAAGACTTATTAAACTGATATGAGTTAGTCATGCCTGGTACTAAATGAGTTGCAGTAACTTTAGGAAATTCACTGGGGTGTGATTTATTTTAGATAAACAAACTTGCCTATAAACATTCCAAAGTTAAAAGCTTGTTTTTAAAACTAAAATTTGATAATGATATGTTCTCTCATCTGTATTTAATATTTTCTCAGTAAATATGTCTCCATTGTGTTATATTTAAGAATATAAGAGTTTAAAATATTCATTCTCAGTTCCCCTTTTTTGTTACTTTTATAATTAGTTGGTTTCATAGAGAAAAGAGATTGAAGCATATCTGTTTCTAAAATTTTAGGTATCAGACAACTTATTTTTATTTTTATACTCATTTTTGCTATGTCCGCAGTCTTCAGTGTTAATAATTATTTGATAAATAACATCAAGGAGGTCTATACCTACTCTGCTGTCTTAAGGTATGTATGCAAAGTGATTCTACAAGCTATTAAGACCATGGGATATTGTTATATGGATTGGTAGTGGTTCTCATTTCTTAGAAAATTAAATTTTAGAACGATTTGGTTACCATGTTTTGATATATTCCTTAAGGTGTAAAGAGTTTTAGTAGAGTACCTTTCAGTATTTGGTTTGACATACAATCACAGTAAGTTCAAAGAATCTTAAATCAAGGTGCTGAGCCATGTTGTAATAAAAAAAGGTACCACACTCTGAACCTGAGATATATCTGAGAGAGAACATATTTTCCTTACCACACTGGCTGTAGCACATAATGGGGTTGCTTTAACCAACCAGCATAATTCTGATTCAGCCTCCACCTTCAGAAAATGGGAAGACTATCCCAACTCCATTTCTTCCCCACAGGTTCCAGAACTCCCTAAGCAGGGTTGCTTGTCCTCCTGATATTTTTCTCTTAATCACAAGATGGTATTCTTTGCTTTTTCCACTCTCAGAATGATGTTTTTATAGATTTCCACTCTCCAACCTTCATCTCTTCTCCCCTGGGCAGGTGGCTGTTTGGATACCCAGACCTTGCTCCCTAGCTGCCCCTCACCCCTCCTCCCTTCCCACTGTTGTTTTGCCATCATTCTCTTTGGCTGCTAACATTGGCTCTGTGGCCAATCACCCCTCAGCTCCACCTGAGATCATCAGGCATTAGATTCTCATAAGGAAAGCACAACCTAGATCCCTTGCGTGTGCAGTTTACAGTAGGGTTTGCACACCTGTAAGAATCTAATGCCACCACTGATTTGACACAAGGTGGAGTTTATGAGGTGATGTGAGTGATGGGGAGCAGCTGTAAATACAGATGAAGCTTCACTCACTCACTAGCAACTTACCTCCTGCTGTGTGGCCCAGTTCCTAATAGGCCACAGACTGGTACCAGTCTACAGTCCAGGGGTTAAGGACCTCAGCACTAAAGGATTTTGAAGAGTGGAATAATGGGGTCTTGGTGGAGATAGTTGTGGCTTCAAACCTTCTTTCACTTCTTGGGTGTAACCATCCATTCTACCATTATTTCTTCCAGCCCTGTTAGTGAAGGGATGGAAAAAACACTTTCTACTCATTTTGTTACAATTGTACATAAAGAGCATCACCTTAAACTCCATTGTTTTATAGTACTTTTAACCATACAGTCCTATCTGTAATAGGCCCCATTCCCTACATGAATGGCCCAAGTCCCTGGGTCACAGTTTGCAAGGCTTTGGGGAAAAAAGAGTAACAGATAGTTTGCTGTTCTCAAAATTTTCCTTTTAATCTCGCCAATTGTTTATTGTGCTGGAATAATGTTTTCCGATAATTCTCCTTCTGTTCTTATGGTCAGATTTCTCCTCTCCCAAGCAGTTCCCTGGCATCCTTTGCAAAAAGACCTCAGACAGGTCCACCTTGCTTGCCTTCTGGATACAGGAGCTCATTCTCAGACTCTGGCATCTCTTCATAATACAACCCTTCTACTGTAGCCTTAGAGTAGTCTTTGCCTCTGGACGGGTGACTCATAGCGTCAGTCCATTATGGCTCCTACGCAGTCTCTTGTATCCTCTACGGGACTCCCTCCAACCTTTCAAAAGTCCATGTCCTGAGACCTCCTGAACAATTAACCAAATTGCCAAATTTTTCTTCCTATGGATATTTTGACTTCTTTTTTACTACGTCTTCAAGGAAGATGAATGATTTTATTTAATATCTGCTTTCCACCTTGCTATTGTTTGTTCATTTAAAAAATATATATTAAAGTGATTCTGTACTTTAAATCTGTTAAGAAATGAAATGCAAGTGTGAGCTAAGACTCTGTGATAAGAAGGTGCCCAGTGAACACATGGAGTCCTCAAAGTTTAATTGCACTACTGAGGATTTGTGTCCATCTGCAGTTTTTGTTATTGTTGTTGTTTTGCTTTTGGCAAAGAAAAACTTGTGGCTGATGGTTCAGCCAAATAAAACTTCTACCACTTCACAGAAATACAAAGAATAGAATGGTTTTTATTTTCGACCAGCAGCATTTTTAGATATAATTGATTGATTTGCCTGAAAAGCTAACATAGAAAGCAATGCTTTTGCTTTTATGAGAAGACTAGGATGTCATTCTACTACAGTGTTCAAATGCTCAGTAAGAATGTTTCTGGTTTTCTAAGGAAAAGTTTTCTGCTAAATGGAGCCCTGATTTAGCTCTACTCTACTAGAGTTTTAAATTTTATAGCCATCTACTCATCCTACCTTGATGGTGTTTGTCATTTTACACAAATCTTTGGCATGTATGTCCCATTATCAATAGCCTTTTCTTTAAGAAGTTAGTTTGTTCTTCAGTTTTTATATTATTACAGAGTTTCCCTCTTTGACATCTCTCTTGTTTAAAATCTAAAGTATCATATCCAAACAAATCTTCATTTTTCTTCTCCATGAGTCTGTCCTCTGCTATTGTGGGCACTCAATCCTGCTTCTGCACAAAGACACTATGTTCCTGCCTCTCTCCTCATTAAAGGAGTGGATGCTTTGACCAAGGATACTGGCCACCACTTACTTATTTAATTTTAAAACACAAGAAGTACTTGGAAAATATAAATTCTCCAAACTTGCTTGAAATGGTACCACCAACTTACATTTTCTTTAAATGTCAGGCCTTGGCATTACAGAGAGTGAGACATTGGAGAGAGATGCTTGCCTGCCCCTGCTCTGGCAGTGTAGGGAAGATGCTCTGCTATAGACAGTTCCTTGCTGCTGCCTTCAACCGACAACACTTAGAGGCCAAGATCCTAAAAACACTTTTTTTTTTTTTACATCTTTGGACCGATTTCATTCTGAAACCTCTTATTGCAGTGTTTTAAAAAAAATATTTTTGAAATTGTCCTTGTGAATGCTTTGAAGTTGCTCCTTTCTGGTCCCCCTTCCTCTGCTTTCATCACTTGCTCTTGGTTTTAGGGACATTTACATTTAAGATATTTATTTAATTCCCTTTTCACATTGAGTTTCTGAGTGCTGCATTTTTACTCCATTGTTATGTTTTGTTTTGCTTTAACCTGTTGCCAGATGTGTCCCCATGGGACTGGAACACACCGTCTGCCAGACACAATCCTGAATTCATTAACTTGTCATTTTCTTTGCTGTTGACGAGACCCGACAGACAGGCACCTCCACGAAAGGAGTATTTACCCAACACCGACATCTGCCAAGAAAAACAGAGGGGAAAACAGAGAGGCAAAGAAGGTGGAATGGGTGGGGGTACACACGTGTTTAGAGATTGGAAGAGCTTTCTTAAAAAGTTATCGTTTAACAGTCTGGGAACATGATTCCTGCTGTTGCCAAAAGCATCTCATCAGCGACATAAGACCTAACATCTGAGTTAAAGGGGAAAACCTTGAAGTCCTCACTTCCAAGACAACATGAATTAGAGTCAGGACAGACTTCTGACAGGGAATGAACACGGTGATCTCAGCGTGAGTCCCTGTAGGGTGGTAGCCCACTGGATTACAAAATGATCTCTGGTAATTAAACACATTTGGCCTCTTTAGTGTGTGGGAGAAGTCACGGATGAGAAAATAAGAGGATTTGATTTTATGCAGGAAGGAGGGTGGTCTTGCTAAGGCAGGGTCAGCTGTCGGGCAAGGAGGCAGGGGCAGAGGCATGTAGTTTGGCTGGCTGACATAACCCCGGGGTCGTCAGAAAACTGAAATCATGCCTTGTCTTTCTTATAATCTCACATTTCCAGAACAAGCAAAAAAGAGAGGAATGGAGATGCCGTCGTGAGCCCAGGCTTATGTGAAGCAGCAGCCAGCCTTGTTTCTCTAGACTCACTGTGCTTACCCCAGTGGTTCCTCCTCCCACAAAGCCAACAAACTACAACCTATTTTTCTCTTTCTCCTTATCTCTGGCACTGTGATTTTAAAAAACAAAAGGACTTTCAGAGAGTGGGGGGAAGCACAGAAAATAAGACTGATATCTTTCCTCCATTTCATTCCAGAGAATCGACATACCACGTTGACTGTACCTTTCTGAATGATCCACAGGCAGCCATGGGAATGAGAAGCATGTTCCATGAGTCACGGCTTCTAGAAACATTGTGTTTCACAGCTAATTATTGTCTTCTGTCATGAAGAACCATCTGGAGGTCTCCACTCAGGGAGATACCAGTTTGGGCCAGGAGTCACTGCAGTTCCTCTACTGTCTTTCCAGAATCCCTTGTCCTCTACACAAGGACTAGGGACTAGGAGAGCCAGCGAGAGGGAATATAGGGTTGCTGGAGATTCTGAACTCCATGGAATGGAACACATAGAATGGCTCATCATAGCAGCCTGAGTCTCTCTTTCTTCTTCCACATGATTTAGACTCCTACACACGATGGTGTTCCAAGTTCCACAATGTTGAGGGCCTCTCCCCTGGATCTCAGACCTGGATTCACAGGACCCTAAGGCTCCCCTCTCCATGCTATACAACAGCAGTTCCCTGGAATGTTAAGTGGTATCTCATGAACAAGTGTTTCATGGTCAAGTAAGTTCTTCTTTTCCTCCTCCTCCTCCTCCTCTTCCTCCTCTTCTTCTCCTTTCCTCCTCCTCCTCCTCCTCCTCCTTCTTCTTCTTTTTCCTCTTCCTCTTCTTCCTCTTCTTCTTCTTCTTCTTTCTCTTCTTCTTCTTCTTCCTCCTCTTCTTCTATTTTTTTAGGGACAAAATCTTGCTTTGTCACCCAGGATAGAGGCAGTGGTGCCACCACAGCTCACTGCAGCCCCAAATTCCTGGGTTCAAGCAATCCTTCTGCCTCAGCCACCTGAGTAGCCAGGACCACAGGTGTGGGCCACCATGCTTAACTAATTTTTTAATTAATTAATTTTTTTAGTCAATGTCTTGCTATGTTGTCCCTGCTGTTCTCAAACTCCTGGCCTCAAGCGATCCTCCTCCCTAGGCTTCCCAAAGTGCTGGGATTACAGGCATGTGCCACCATGCCCAGACCTCTAAACCTTTATGATGATGATATACAACATGAGGCTGTAACAGTTCCACAGGTGGTAGCTTTTCCAGAATATATTTGGCCATGAAAAGCCATGTTGTCATTTTAATCAAAAATCTTCCAGGAGTAGAGATATGAGAAACATATATAAGAGAACAATTATAAGAGGTCCCGTCTGTTCTTTAAAAACACACGTTTTTGTTTCAGAAGTATAGCCTTAAAGTTATAGCCCTTCTGGATTTGAAGAACTATAATGAATGTGAAATGTCAGAGACATATTTTCAGAATTTAAATGATTTTCACTGGATCCCCTGCCTATATATGATTCCACAATTATATACTCTCTTGGCTTGGCTGAAGAATATAGTTTGCTATATAGATCTACTTAGAGTATATACTTGAAGTATGTGAACTATTAAATTAATGTCCAATTGGAGAGATCTCCATAGTGACTTTCACTGGGTCTCTGTCCTTGATATTATTCTTTTCAATTTTTTAATTAATGGGTTTATTGGAGTCACAGAATGCATGCTTACCATATATACTGAACCCAAAACTGAGGCAGATGACAAATTGTTGGATGACAGAGTGTGATCTCAACAGACAGACAGACAAGACCAAATCTAGCAAGCTAAAATACAAGAAGGGGAAATTTAAAGTCCTGTCCTGAAGCTTCCAGATCATAAATTGAGGATGAAGGTGATGTGAACAAGTAGCCTGTGTGGAAATTATTTAGTGTCTTCAACTGACTATAAGTTAAATATGAGATACTGATGAAGTAAGGGTTGAAGCCACATGAAGGTTAGAGAAAGTGCGTAAAGTACACAGTTTGAGGCAGATTGAAGGCCATTTGCGTAATGTTTGCAAATCTCAAGAAGGAGCACAGCCTTGAGCGAGGTTATGTCCATAAACACCCCATCCCCTGTGAGGGAACAGGCGGGTATGTGCAAGAATGTGATGGGCGTCACACCCTACACTCCCGGTGCAATAAGAGCAGCATGACTCACTGGAATTGTAATTCAGGAATTGTTACATGCTTAAAAAATACTCATAACATTCTCTCTCAGATTCTTATAATTCAAAATAATTCTGGTTCATGGAGAAGTCCCAACACTTTCCTTGGCTAATAATGCCTCTCTAGCTGGTCCTTACCACTCAGTTTCTAGGGGCAAGAGCTTTACTTCAGGTCTCACAGCTGCACTTTTGTGATTGTCACCTCTTCCTAGCTTGTGTGTACATTAAAGTTGGTGTTGTATTGGAATTTATGGTTAGATGATACAACTTAAAAACAAATTAGTCTTTTCTCTTATCATCATTCCTTGTTGGAAAACCAAAATACTAATAATGATAAAAATGAACATTTATGGAGTGCTTTCCATGTGCTAAGCATTGCTGTAATTGTTTAACATAGATTCTCTCATTTAATTTTCACAATAGTATGAGATAGCTATTTGTACTCTGTCTCTCTTTTGCTGTTGAACAAACTGAGATACAGAGAGGTTAAGAGTCTCACCCACGGTTGCATACCTGCAGTAAATGATAGCACATCAGGATTTAAGTGCAGGTATTTGACTCCAGAGCCTGTGTTCTTATAACCACTATGCTACAGTTTTTCTCTATGCCCAGTTAATTCTCTTTTCGAGATTTCCCAGGTGCTTCCTCCTGGCTGAACCTATTTAATCCTCTTCTGATTCCTAAATCCACCATATTTGCTCATTGGCTGAAATATAAAATCTTAATTTTGGTATCCTAAACGTGATTAAGATACTCTGTTATTGTATACTGCACTGGTTAACTATATAACTATAGTTACCCCTCAGTCAGTCTTGCTTACATATACAACCGAGCCAGGAAGATTATTCTCCATATCCAATCTCTTACTAAAGCATTAACATATGCTTAAAACAGACTGATCATTCCTACTAAAAGCACTTAAAAACTCATCTCCCTGAGGACATCCTCTTTGAATGATTTAGATCCACTTAAGCTATACTATACTTGGCATCCTAACATCTGACTTTTATGTATAATGATGAAATATATGTAGTTAATTCATTTTCATTGTATCTGTTTTGTGTATATTCTTTTTGATAGATTGTGAATTTCTGATGACGGAGAGCTTCCGCACCAAATTTATGAATTTCAAGTAACATATATTGAAGATAATGTGAATAGCACAGACATTGACATAACCTACAGGAAACAGCTGGCATATAGAAAATGCTCAGTAAAAACAGCTATAATATTTTTAGGATTTTGTCTATTTGCAAGGATACCCTACTTTCTTTCCCATTTGCAACACAATCATAATATTATGTTAAAATTCCTAAAAAAGTTTACTAATTACTAAGTTTTGTGTGTGTGTGTACATGTGTGTAGAAAGCAATCATTTTTTATGGGATGTTTTAAGGACTTTTTTGAAGTTTTTTTTCAAGGGACTCATAAATATAATTTTTTCACCTTAAGCTTTCTCATAAGCCACAAATGTTCAACATTGTACTTAAATGACCTAGTAAATTATCTTGAGTCTGTCAAAAGACTCCATGAAGCCACAAATTTTGAGCAGTCTGCTTTTATAGCAGACTACTTTTATATACATTCTCATCAGCAATATAGCTTGCTATGAAGACTATATCTTAATATATAAAAGTACTTATAACTGTGCCTGACATATAGTAAGATCTATGTAGGTATATCTTCATACATACACATCAGATGTATGTGTTATATATAATAATAATTATTTCTCCACTAACTACTAATTATCTTTGTCATATTCCATTTCCTATATATACAGGAATCTGTATCCCAACCTCTCTGCTCTTTTATTTCTGCAAAACTATAATATTTTAATTAATATATAAATCACTCTTTATAAATGTCTTTTTATCTGATAAGGCAAATTCTCCTTATCCATTTCCTTCAAAATTGCCTTGATTTTTCTTGTTTCTCGACTCTTCCTTATGAATTTTAGGACAAGGTTCCTTTAGGGTATACTCTCTAGAGTGAAATTGTTAGGTAATGGGATGTGCATATCTTTAAATGTGTAAGATGGTATCAAATAATTTTCAATCATGGTTGTAAAAATGAATTTCCAAGAACAGTGTATGAGAGTTCCCACTGATCTACATCCTCCTTCACTGATTTTATCAAAGCTTTTAACATCAAGTTGAGACATAATTTATAAACAATGAAATGTACCCAATTTAAGTGTGCAGTCCAGTGAAGTTGACAAAATCATACATCCTTGTAAAGATCAGTAAAATCAATTTTATAAAATACTTCCATAACTTCCAGAAGGTTACTTTGTGCTCTCTTCCTAGTAAATATCACCCCAACACTGGCTACAGGCAACCACTGATCTCTCTATTACTATGTATTAGGTTTATCTTTCTGAAAGTCTCACATAAATGGAAAACAATAGTAAGTACTCTGTAGCCTTCTTTTACTCAGCATAATATTTCTGTGGCTCAAACATGCTGTTGTATGTATTAATAGTTTATTCATTCATATTGCTGAGTAGTATTCCATTGTACAGATATATCACAATTTGTTTATCCATTCACCTGCCATTGAATATTTATATTGTTTCCATTTTGGGGCTCTTATGAACAAAGTTACTGTGAACATTCATGAACAAGTCCCTCTGTAGAGATGTTTTCATTTCTCTTGGTTATATAACCAGACTTACTGGGGATCATATAGAAAGTATATATTTAACTTTATAGGACACTCCAAACTGTTTTCCAAAGTGGTTGTGCCATTTTACATTCTCATCAGCAATTTATGAGACATTCACTTTCTCCACATTCTTGCCAAAGTTGATATTGTCAGTTGATTTAATTTTACCACTCTATCAGATGTGCTGTTGTATTTGATTGTGGATTTAATTGGCATTTCACAGATAATTATGGATATCGAGTATCTTTTCATGTGATTATTGGCCCTTTACATAGTTATTTTCTGATATGTCTCTTCACATATTTTTCACATTTAAAAATTGGGTTGCTTGCCTTCTTATTAATGAATTATAAGTTCTATATAAATTCTAGATACAATTCTTTTAATCTATTGTGATAGAAAGCATTCTTTTTAAAGAACCTTTTTAAATTTTTAAATGGTGTTTTCAAAGAACAAAAATTTGGAATTTTGATGACATCCCTATTATTATTTCTTTTCTTTTATGGTTCATGCTTTCTGTGTTCTACCTAAAAAAAAATCTTACTGACCAAATTTTGCCAAGATTTTCTTCTATGTTTTGTTATAAAATTGCTTGCATTTTGTTAATTTTCTTACATATACTTTATGTTTTATATCAAATGTTTCATATTTTACATGAAATATTTTATATTTTAATGATACTATAAATATATTGATTTTCTAATTTCAAATTCCAATTGTTTATTACTGACATAATAAAATATAATTGGCTTTGTTTCCTTTAAACTTAATAAAGTCATTTTTAGTTCTAATAGCTTTTTTAAAGATTTCTTAATTTTTTTTTTACATAAAGGGTATGTCAACTATAAGTAAGGGCAACTTCTTCT